TTGAAAGGAAATATGAAAAAAATGTCACTACATATTGAATTCATAAGTTGAGAATGATTTATTGACCATTGATGTGAGTCTAAAATTTGAAGTCTCGAAAGAATGAAGGTTTTCAAAGAGACAAAATGTATGGCCGCCAAGAACACTCGCGCAAGAAGACTGCCAATTTGACATACTCTAAACTACTATTAGGAACTCAGATATAGTTTATTGAAATTTGGAAACAAATAAATAATTGGGATGAGAGTTGAGAGAGATGGACTCTAAAATAATTATATAAATTTGTTATGTTATAATTATATGAATAAAAAGCCTTAAAGGCTAAAGAGATGTAATGACTACAACCGATCCTACTTAAAATTAATGTATATATTATTTTTTTGATGCAGCAACAATTGTATTGTTTTTAAAAACTACAACTGATCCTACTTAATATTAATGTATATATTCTTTTTTAAACTTGGCCCTGTTTAAAACTTTTTATTTACATTTTAAATTTTCAAATTGTCAACAAAATTAAACATTAGGCCTAATAAACTGACCTTAAGAATTAAAAAAATAAGTCTACTAACACTATACATAAAGAAAAATATTTGGGCCTATTTTTTCTTCTATTTTTTTCTTGGCCTAGGGCGGTCGCCCCTCTTGCCCTCCCCCCAGAACCGGCCCTGCCTGTGGCTACCTTTGTTCCACTACAAGCGCCCATACAGCCGTCGGTAGGCGACTGGTGCATGCGGTTGGGTCTTGGGTCTCAGTCAGCGGGTGTTTATTCTATCTTTCCAGAGGGAAGATACAACGTATCTTATACCTTGGTTCATAGAGAGCCACGTCTGTAAAGGAATCAAGGCCTCAGTTGGGAATGGAAAGCTAACGGCGTAGGGGTGGCCGAACAATTGGCTCAAAATTGAGGAAGGAATCAAATCAAAATTCACCAAATTCTCGGCCAAGTCTACGCTTCAAAAGCTAAGTACATATGCTTTTTAGTTGGTACATTTAACTGTTAATAGTTTAAAATATTAGTATTGCTAGTGTTTTTATCACCATTATTTAATAGGGAATAAAGTTTTCCCAAAACTAAATAATGTCGAGCAAAGCTCAAGTGAGTAAAGCTCTAGTGATAGTTAATTTCACCGTCATTTTAATTAATGATGGGTTGTTGTGGGTTCGTAGACCCACCCCGATTAGCTTTTATAAAGCGATCGGAGCATGTCTGAATGGCTTTTGGTAGGATAATATCAGTATTATTACCTGTTACATCACTATTATTTACTACGTCTTAGGGATAAAAAATATCCCGAATTAAATAATGCGGAGCGAAGCTCTAGTGATAGTTAGTTCAACCAATATTTTATTAAATGTTTGGTTTTGTGAGCTCGTTGGCCCACTCTTGATCGGCTTTAGTCAGCGATGCGAGCGTCTCCGGATGGCATTACCCCGATGACACATTGCAATTTGGGGTTGTGCATTAGTCCGCACGACGCCAAATGCCCGATCGACGATCGTACCCCAGTACCATCTGCACCACTAGACGCGAGGTGACTGTTGCCAAATGCGGCCGGTGGGGCCCGGGGCACCAAAGCGCTCAACCTCATTTTACGAGGGCGGCGTGCGTAGCGGGAGATTGAATTTCCAACCTCGCAAACCAAAGATTTTTATATGCAACGTCTGGCGAACCAGTAGGTGGTCCTGTCATGGACAGCTACGTCCAAGAACCTCACACGATGAGCCGACCGAGGGTCATGGTGACCCGTAGGCCGGTAATTGTGGACGTGCAAAAAAGGAGAAATGTGTGTACATAAGTACTCATGAGTATATATATTGTCGGGCCGTGCGGCCCGTTACCATGTTAGTTGTGCAGTCAAGGCCGCTCGACACACTCAAGCGTAGAGATTAAATGACGCTCGACATGAGTTCCGAAGACGTTCAAGCCGATTGAAGAGGACACCACGGTCGAGGGCCGTGAGACATTCATCTTCACCTATAGGCCGAGGGCCTAGAGGAGACCATCTCGGCTAAGAACCGTGAGACGAGCATCTCCACCCCAGAGGCCTAGGGCCTTGAGGAGACCATCACGGCTGAGAACCGTAAGACGAGCATCTCCACCCTAGAGGCCGAGGGCCTAGAGAAGACCATCACGACCGAGGGTCGTGAGACAGTCCTTATGTCGTGAGATGGGTAACCGGTTGTGCCGTTTGACGCTGATATGGGCGCATATGCGGCATGAATTAATTTCTTTTTTTGAGAAATCTTTAATGACATGTCTACAACCTCTTGAATTCGGGGTTTCCCCCCTTTTTTCTCCGAAGACGGCCTCCTTCCATATCTAACGTTGTCAACCTATGTCACTCTTTTTTTTTGGGAATTCAAATCCTAAGGTGTAAACTAACATTCACGTATGAATTCACGAAGGAGAAGCGGCTTTGGAACCCGCCAACAATCGTACAACTTTCGTACAATTGAAATTACTTCTGTGACGTTGACACTTCAGTTGTTTCTGTTCCACCTAGCCTTGAACTCTAGACTCTCCAACTTTTGTAGATAGGGTTACGAAGAGTAGAGATGGAAGAAAATGGGTATTCAACGAGAAATGGGGGGGGGGGAGCCATGTCATTATAGATTTTCCAAAAACAAAATTAATTCACGCCACATATGCGGCCACATCATTTTCAAACGGCACAACTAGTTACTCACCATTTGAATACCGATATAGATCCATTTTTAATAGTTAGGGGATTCAATTGAGTTAATTAATTGTACAAGAACCCAATTGACCTTTTCATTATAGTACGAGGATCTATTTAACAGTTTTCTTAACTATAGGCTACAAGTGTGCCACTTCTGGAAAATAACTATAGGCTAAAAGTGTGCCACTTCTGGGTAAGATCTCCACTCACTATCTGTCAGTTTGTGATTAATGAACATGTTTGACATTTAACGGTTATCAGATAATGGATTATGTTAGAGGGTTGTCAATAACAGATTTAATCAGCGGGTTTGACTAGCGGTATGAGTTGGTGGGTTGTCACAAGATGTGATAATTTAATTGTGTGGTAATAACAATTTGTAGAAAATGTCATATTTCAAAACGCTAACCCACAACTCTCCTATTTACAACGTTTCCATTTCAGCGATTCTGTTTAAAAACGTTAGAGCTGGACAATTATTTACCAAACAACGTTTTGACTTATTTAAAACAAAGGGGTCAAACCTTCTTTTGATGAAATCCAATTTCCAAACATTCAGGAAGTAAGTCTAATTTACATGCTCCTCCCATCTCACGGTAATTTAAACCGTACGGTCGGCTGTACCAGGGCATGGTACAACCAGGTTTGTTTGTAATTAATTACAAATTCAACGGTAAGGTTATATGGTCTGTCTTCTGCAGTTCCCTGTTGGTTTGAGTCGTTGAATTTGGAGGGCTCTGAGGATCGATTCAGTGGAGACGATGAAGGAGGTCTGATGAAGATGACGTCAAGGTGATGCTCGTTGCTCGCTGCTCACTGAGGTCTAGGGGTCGATGAAGATGGTGCTCGCTGATTTCCTGAGAATCGATGAAGGAGGCCAATCGATTGAGCAAGTGTGGCCTCTGGGCAGATTAATACTCCGTACGTTGGAGAGGAGAGAAACTGCACATATAAAGTTCTCAAACCCCACTATCACAAGTTACTAACTTGAATTTTGATTTTGTATTTTAATATTGTGTGTTAATATTTTCAGCTTGTTAATTACTAACATAAATTTTGTCTTATGATGAACATGAGTATATTGTTTATAATAAATGTACATATTAGTTAAAAGAAATGAACATACATAAATGCATATTTAAGCACGTTAGAAAATTCAAATGAGCACACACAAATGCAAATTAGAGCACACTAGAGATTCTAAATGAGTTTTTAAAATTTTTCTACACTCATTTCATAATTTATGTATGCTCATTTGATATTACTGTATGTTTATATTCAAGCTTATTAATTAATAACATAAGTTTTATGTTATATTGAAAATGAGTATAGTGTTTATAATAAATGTGCATAACAGTTAAAAGAATTGAACATACATAATTGAACATTTGAGCAAGTCAGAAGAATTAAATGAGCATATACAAATGAAAATTTGATCATATTAGACAATTCAAATGAGGTACAAAAATGAAAAGTTGAGCATATTATCGATTTTTAATGAGCTTTTTGAATTTTTGATTGCTCATTTCATCAGTAATGTATGCTTATTTGGTATTAGTGCAATGCTCATTTTAAATGTTGCATATTTCAAACGTATCATACTACATTATGTAAGTTAAAGCCCAAAATGAATGAGCATACACAAATAAACTTTTGCATTTTTTATAATTATTTTGTAAGTTATGTATATTTACTTATTACATTTTTGTGCTCATTTTAAAATATTGCACATTTCAAACATATCATACTACGTACGTAGTATTACATTAGGACCGACATAATTAAAAGTTGTTATAAACGAAAAAATAATAAAAAGAAATCGAATCAAATATGATGCAAATAGTGATGATCATTCTAAGGCTCCTAATACTAAAAGGACTACTTCTTCTTGTACACACTTTTATACTCACCTTATATCCATCATGTCTGTGATGAATTTTTCCTTTTTATATGTGAATCCGATTTATAGACAAAATAATTTGCATAGACATATTTTGTTTATGATCGGGATTAAGACAAAAAAAAATTCTCACAAACATAATACCGAGTATTATCTACTACTCCCTCCGTCCCCTTTTAAATGTCCCGTTTTACCATATTGGGATGTCCCTATTTAAATTTCCCATACCTTATTTGATAAAGTTTGTGTGGCTCAAAATCATTCTTACTTTATTCTTACTTTATTTATTAATATCAACCACACAAACTCACTTTTCTTAAAACTCGTGCCACCCTCTTCCGACATTTAAAAGGGGACGGAGGGAGTATTAGAATGGGCAGAAACAGTTTTTTTGTACTAAAAGAACAAATTTGATGACATTTGACGCTTCCCCATCTAACCATCCTGCCGTAACAGTTGACACTAGCATAGTCTTGTCCCTTCCACTGCAGTTCAATTATGGATGTTAGGAGACCAATTGTGATATACATTAGTTCAGATGAAGAGGATTCCGCAGAGTCCCTCTCCGCCACCAGCCGTGGAGTAGGAGGCGGTGGAAGCTGGGATGACAGTGACAGCGACGATTGCGTGATTTTGGAAGAAGACCCTTTTAAGGCGGAGGAAGTAGTGAAAGAAATAGCAAGCGATGATTCCTGCGATGATGTGGTTGTGTGTGGGACAAAGGGTCAGGTATGAAACCTAACCCGATCCCATTCATTACAACTTCAAGGTTAGCTACGTATATTATTAAGATTTGTTTAGAAAATACGGGCGAGGATATAGGTATACCGTATACCGATCCTGGCATCCTGCGGTTTTGAAAATTATATGATATTAGCAGGGTGTATATTTGAATATTGAAAATGTAGGGGCTAATTCTCAAAGGAACATTAAAGATTGACAGTTTCATATACTCTTATACACTACCTCCATGACTCCATCTCATTAAAGGTGTCATGATTATTAGAAAAGTGGTTTTATGCTGTTGATATTGAATTGATAAATTAAGAATAAAGTAAAAATGATTTAGAATCACACAAATTTTAACAAATCTGATATGGGAAATCTTAGTGATACAGATCGAAAAGGAAAGATGAGACAATCTTATCGGGATGAATGAGACAATCTTATCTGGATGGAGGGAGTATATTTTATCTCATATGTGCTATGGTGTGAATGAGACTCTAGAAAAGAGTATTAAATACCCATATGGCTCATGCCTTCATGGGATACGAGTATAGTAACTTATGAGTTATGGCAGTACTTTTATGAAATTATTATTGTGGCGCTAAGTTTTTTTAGTCTGCATTTACCTATGAGAATAATGGAGATCCTTAGTTTGTTTAAGAATAATGACTAAAATAGATTAAAGTAGACTGGACATAGACAAGAATAAAATACAAATACCACAAGACAAGACTAGTTGAGACTAGGCTGAAAAGGATTAATGGAGAACAGAATTAAACAGATTAGCCTTGTTTAGAAGAGACCATTACAGACCAGAGTCACCAGATTAGGGAAATTTTTTGTTAAAATTAAATTTGGACTTTGCACCATAGTCTCAACAAAGCTTAACATAAAGATATAAACTTGAGATGCGAACTTAAAGATTTCTAAAAGTGGGGTGCAAAGTCCAATTTCAGTGTAAACGTGGTGTGCAAAAACCAGTTTTTACTTTGTGTAATTTACTTCGTGTAACTACTAAGCACGAAGTTCCGATTTTTATGTGAAAACGAGAAAATTCAGATGCTTCATTTTACAATCTGTTTAATCTCCAGTTGCCATCACAATATTTGTTAAGTAGGTAATACAAATATGGAATGACTGACTGTATATTGAGTTGTAAGCAGATAAAAATTAGTTTGATTAAGTAAGCTAACCTAAAAGTTGAAGATATGTACCATGCAAGCAGGCAGCCCTCCACCCCCCATGAACCTCACTACAAAATATGGATGTAAGAACCCCTGCTATGATGCCAGTTTATTTTTTAAACCTGGAAGGGATTAATGAGTACAGTGAGAGCACGCTCCTTTTTAGGTCGTGTTAAATAAAAGAAAGGTTGCTTTGTTTTGTTTAGTTTTGCTTCCACTTTGTTGTAGGTTGTTGTTGCCTGTAGAGATTTTCCCCATCCTCGCCATCTTTGTGCTAAATTCCCCTTTGCTACAACATCACATGAAATCCACTGTGACAAGGTAACTATGTTTCCTTTATATTCTAGTATGCCAATCCTTGCATGATAGGCTTTCTGCTACTTATATGAGTTATATCCTTCTGCAGAAGGTTACTATTCACATGAACATATGGTGTTACTATCTCATTTCGATAGGTACCCTGATCAGTTCCAGTTAAAACCTAACATAATCACCCTTTTTGTCGTTTTCAATCTTTTTTGTCCAAAAATAATTGCAACTCAATGTGTATTTCGTACCCTTCTTCCAAATTTGCCTTCATTGACTTTTCTCATATTAAATGCTATTTAATTTTTCCTTGAGAAGATATTAGAGACATTTTTATGTTGAACTCTATAGGGATAGCATTGGCACTTTGTAATATTGCCACTTTTCTAAAACATCATTAAACTAGGATCGAGAGAACAACTAATGTTATCCAAGGACATATGTGAGAAGTTAATGTTTTACCTTTCCTTTCTTAGTTCGAGTGCGAAAAGATATATTACATTTGGCCTGTTTTGATGATTGTTGGTTTACTTATTACAGTGTCATTGTTATATTTGTGAGTCACTGGCTCCATGTCTCTACTGGGGAAAGAACCATGTTATGTCCCACTGCGATGCTACTGATAAAATAGCACTGTGGAGAACCCATAGAGAAGGCAAAAAGAACAATATAGCTCGTGGGTTAAGTAATTTGACCCTTGGCCATGCCAAATCTGAACTAACTTGAGATCCTTCCCTGCTTGGGATTCCTTTTGTGCCCCTCCAGTTCAAAGCATTTTATGTGAAAGCAGGCAACCCAACGCAAGCCTTTGGTACATCCAGCATTTATCCCGCACTTATGATGTTACAATTGTATGCACATGTATGAACTCTCGAACCACTCTTATTCCTCACCCCTAATTTCTCTCCTTCAAAAGCAAAAAGGGAAGGGAACAAAGTGAGGTCAATGGTGCTCGGACCTGGTCCAAGCAGTTTGATAGGGACTATAGCTCTTGGTATTTGATATGTTATGCATGACATGTTGGGGAAGAGTGATTTATGTGGGCGGATTGGGATGATATTCCTATTTTATAAATGAGTTTGTTTATGGGTAGAATTTAAGGTTTATACTCATGCATGATGCATTGACTGGTGTATATTGTTGTTATTTTTGGAAAGGTTCGACTTCTTAACTCCTGCCGGTTCTCTTGCTACTCCTCTTAATAGTTTAGCACTTCATTTTATATGAAAAGCTTTTAATCCCAAGCCTAATGGCCTATATAACTATATATGTCATTGCCCCTTCATGTAACTACGTCAGTTAAAATGTGGGTCATTACCCACTCGTTGGTGCCTTATACTATTTATGTAGAGAGCAAAAACATTTCGTGCTCACCTCTCCCACCAGTTATAACTTATAATTTTCTTAAGCTTAGATCTAAATGGGTTCTACTTCTGCTTTATGCATGAGACATGTGTTTTCATCTTTATCTTTTTCATGGAGAGTGAACAGATGTATGTTGTATACCTTCTGACTATATGAGAGAATATATACTTCAATACTTGTCATTTTTTCTGGAACAATGAAACACAAATGAAACAAAGTTAGAACAAATATACCTTTGAATCAATATTAGAGCATATATTCACTTCAACTATTTGAACATAAACTGACATTTGCTGATTTGCTCCAACTTACGATTTTTGCATTTTTTTTTGGGATAAAGGGTAAGTATATACTCCGTATATCCTAAAAGGGGCTATCCCAAGCAAGGATAACCCATCACCTCAAAAACTATACAAGATGAACAAAAACTCTCCGCCAAGCACAAAAATAGGTGATGGACCTATCTAATCAGTCAAAATGTAACTAGTTCGTGATGGTAGATATTGTAAAGGATCTTATACATCATGTATTTGCTCCTAGCTATCAAATCCTCCTCTTTAGGCTTAGTTCTGTCTAGGGGTGGACTTGGGCCGGTTCGGGCCTGGGCCCGGCCGGGCCTCGGTTCATGAAAGGGGAGGCCCGGAACCGGCCCGGGTAACCCCCGGGTCCGGTTCGGGCCGGGCCGTGCTGGGCCTCGGTTCAATCATTTTTGGCTTTTCCTAATTAACCCCCAACCCTCCCCCCTCACCCCCAAACCACCTCAAATGGCCCAAAATACCCAACCCAAAAACTTAAAAAAAATTCAAAAAAAAAAAAAGAAAAATAAATAAATTGGCCCGGACCGGGCCCGAACCGGCCGGGCCGGTTCACCATTTCAGGGGCCCGAGCCCGGCTCGGAACCCCAGCGGGTCGGGCCTACCTGGATCGGTCCCTAGCCGGGCCGGCGGTTCGGGCCGGTTCAAACAGTGACCGGGCCGGGCCGGTTCAAACAGTGACCGGGCCAGGCCGCCCGGCCCGAGTCCACCCCTAGACTTCCGTCATACCTTGTTGCATTTCTTACTCTCCAAAGCGCATGGATAGAAAGAGTAATGCAATGTGGGCTACCTTAGCTTGAATCCCAATACCTCCAAGGTCTTTCTTATTCCATTTCACTGAGCTTGCTAGAGTAGATATCTATCTAGGCATGTCAATGAGTCAATCTAGTTTCTCGCTTTACTCAACGCAGTTCCTATAAAATGACAAGTAAAAAATAGGTGTGGTACTGTTCCCGGTTCATCCTTGCTAAAAAGACAAATGTTAACCACATCAAAGTGACCAAGGTTATCATAAGTTGCTAAGCGATTGAGAAAGCCAAGCCAAGCAATAAATGAGAACTTTGGTGAAATGTATGCCTTCCAAATGAAAGACATCCAAGTATGTTTGCATTTAATTGTATCAGAAGAAACCTGAGAGCTATGTTTATTCTCTGACATATAGCTCTGAGATATTTGTCCGCTCTATGTCTTTTAACAAGTAGATTTTACAATTGATTATAGAAAAAGACTTATGAAATACTCCGTAAAAGTAATACATTTTCACCGTTTAAACAAATTTTCTTCTTTGCACCCCAAATCCTCAATTCTTATAAGCACTAACTTACTAACTTACTGATGTCATTCTTCTTTGCACCCCAAATCCTCAATTCTTATAAGCACTAACTTACTGATGTCATACAAAATCATGTATTGCACTATTAAGGGTGTTTGGAACTGATTCTTCTTCTGCTTATTTTTTAAAGCATAATCAGAATCATTTTTCATAAGTTGGTCCCCTAGCTTCTAAAAAAACTGATTCTAGGAGTAAATTAGATCACTAGAATCACTTCTGCATTTTCACCCAAACACTCCGACTACTGCTTCTGCTATTTGAAGGAGCAGAAACAGTTTTAAAAATCAGATCCAAACACCCCTAAGTTGTGCACCAAAAATAATGTTTCTGCGCAGCAAGCTTTATAAATAAAACACATTGGAGAGATGCAGAATCTTACCTGAAGTAAGTAATAACATAACATTGCACATTTGCCCTTACAAGTTACAAATCGCAACAAAGCTAATGGAGTTTGCCATGAGGACCTCTTTCATCTAGGGATGGACCCGGGCCGGTCCGGTTCCGGTTCCGGGCCGGGCCCGGGCGGGCTTTTTTTCGGGTTACATGGGCCCGGAACCGGCCCGGGTTGATACCGGGTCCGGGCCTAACCGGGCCGGGCCGGGCCGGGCCGGGCCCGGTTCAATGTTTTTTTTTTTTTTTTTTTTTTTTTGACTTTCTTGTTATCTCCCTACCCCCCCCCTCACCCCCACGCCCCAAACCTCCCTAAAACACCCAGCCCTACCCTAGGAAAAGAAAAAAAATTGAAAAAACCAAAAAAATAAAAAAATGAACCGGGCCCGGCCCGAACCGCCCGGGCCGGTTCAACAAAAATAGGGCCCGGAACCGGCCCGCCCGACCCGCCAACACGGGCTAAAAGCCCGGAACCGGCCAACCGGGCCCGGTCCGGTCCGGGCCCGCACAGTAGCGGGCCGGTCCGGTTCCGGGCCGGTTCGGCCCGACCCAGTCCATCCCTACTTTCATCACAGTGATGCCTTGTTGCACCAGTTCAAAAGATCGATTGTCCCTCACCCTATTGCTCTCTGAGACTATCATAGTAAACAGTTGTGACAACTCTAATTTTTACTATATGAGCGCGCTGTTCGAGAGCTGCATGCTGCACATTTTCATTTTTTTGTTAATATGCTTATCAATCAACACTCTAAACTTCGTTTTTAAATTATAATTTGTCTTATTAACGAAACATATATTTCAATCGAGTTCATAAAATTAAGGAACTACTAGTCTACTAAATTCTATTGAATAAAATTAAGAGGCCTTTTGGCAACACGGTGTTTTGGCAACACATAATTTTTATTTTTGCGCGCTGAATTGTGTAATAAGTAGAAAAAGTAAGGCTGAAGATACTTTTCTGGCTGTATTGGCTGAAGTTACTGTAGATGACCATTTTAACTATTTTTACATACTCCTATCATTTTTCTTTATTTTATTAATAGAATATATTTTACAAATATTTTTTTTATTAAATCAGCAGAATCAACCAATGCAACCATTTAGTCAGAACTTCATAAATTTCAGCAGAATCAGTCAAATAAGCCGATTTTCATGTTACCAAACGGGCTCTAAATATCCAACTAACCAATGACCTTTCACCAATTGGGGGGTGAGAGAGAGGTATAAGGAACCTAAAGCACACATGTTCAATTCCTCGGAGGGACATTTGATAGCACAATTAATATTGAGAGTTACACATAGTAGTGTTAAAGGTACTTGATAGCCACTTCTTGTTAAAGGTAATAGTTCGTATGTTTCAATTTAATTTCTATATTCAAGTATAATTTGGCTCTAATATCAAAATATCACTTTTATCCTTTCATGACTTCTTTACATGAGATAAAAGTATATTTATCACAATGAAATTCATGGTTAGTACATCTACCATGCCATTTTATTCATAAAACATAATCATACACAATTTATTCATAAATTTGTATATTATGCATTTTTACTTATAAACAATAATAATTTCATTTAGGCATTTTTTAATCATTAATAAGCCATGCCAAACCATTTAATTCATTTAGGTAATCTTATGAAATTAACCCAATAATTATAAGCAATATAGTCGGTCATCCTCACCTCAAATGAGCTTTAAACCTTCCCTTCTTGATCCAATGGTCAAAGCTTTGTTCAAGGTGTATTAAGAACTGATTTCTTGCTTAGAAATGAGTGTTAAACAACCTCCCCAAAGTGCTAGCTCAACCTCTAATTGTTGATACGAAAACAGCCCCTAGAATGGGTGTTTTCCGGCGACTCGTTTCCTAGTTTTTTCCAAGGTTTGTTCTAGGTTAGTATCTAACTTTAGAGGAGCAAATCCGTTTTCTGCGAGGTCGTGTTTTCTCCCAAGTATTTGGAAGCTTTCCACTACTCCGATTGATGCAAACCAGACCTTGACGGATTCCTCTTCTTGAGAGCTTTCTCTGGGCACCTCACACGCATTATTTGGTTGAGTATTGCACGAGATATGAAGCAAACAAGTAACCTTACGCAATGGAGTTTCACCCTGCGGACAGCTCGCCATTTCCTTTGTTTTCTTGGTTGTGTGGCTCTCTCCTCTCTTATCTCTGGGAGTTCGAATGGGGGGTTGTGGGAGTGTTATCTTGTCCCTCACTTAGCCTCCAAAGTGAATGGGTAAGGGTGGGTTGGCATGTGGGATGATGGAGCAAGATATCTTCCAATCAAAATGGGGAGAGGGCCCATTCTTTGTACTTAGATGCCAAAAGCATCTCTTCCACCCTCTTTCCTTTGTCAAACCAGCCCTTCCCTTGTCTCTCATGTGGGAGGACAGGAGGTCATCCCTTGTGTCTCAATGTATACATTCGGCCCCGAAAGTCGTATTTTTTCGGACTGGTAAAAACATATTTTATTCTATCGGGTCAAATAAAATACATTACGCGTTATCAATCAGTATGGCCCTTATAATGAATATATATTTCCCAAATTTAATTTATAAGCCCCCGAAATTCATTTCGGGCTGTTATCTGTGAAATTACCAAAAACGGTAATTGAGCCACTTTTGACCAATCGGTCCACATTATGTCTTTTCTTTGGCCCAAATGAAGTATCCACCACCATATGAATATTATCTACATCAAGATGAATAAAATATATGGTCTCGGGAATATCGGGCGGCCCCCGCTCCCGATGTGGGCCCCACGTGCGAATTTACTATTCACGCAAAAGAATAAATAAAAATTCACAACTTCGTATATCCATTAATTCACGCAAAAGAAT